TTTTATATTGTATTTTTCACTGTATTTTTACCTCTACTAAAGCTGACCTTGCCACATCACAGACAGTACATATTACCATATTTTTAAATTAAATTTATTGGTACATTTTAGGTATACAATACAGTTGCGTTCATCATCAGGATTTTTAAATTTTACATGACTTATTTTGGTTATTTTTTCCCCATTTCCAGCCATCCCTTCATCCACTCCACCCTTCCCTGTTTACAATGATATAGTTTCCATGTTTTTCCTTTTCTCGTATTTTTTCTTTTCCATTTTTACCTTTTCCCTACTCCTCCCACTTCTCCTACTCCTATCAATTATACATTTTGATCCTTATTTACACTTTTAGTTTTTCACACCAGAGAATCTATTTGGTATTTGCACACATTTGACTTAGTAGTTTCACTTAACAGCATGGCCTCAATGTGCATCCACTTAGCTATAAATATCTCTAGTTCCTCATTCTTTATGGCTGACTAGTATTCCATTTTATAAGGAATAATCTTCTTTATCCAGACTCCAGTTGATGGGCAATTGGGCTATTTTCAAATTTTAGCTATTAAAAACTGTGCCATTATAAATGTGGGTGAGTATATGTTGCTGTGATATGATTATTTTAATTCTTTTGGGAAGACACCCAGCAGATGAATAGCTGGGTCAAATGGGACTTCTAACCTCGTTGTTTGGGATATCTCCATATCGGTTTCCACAGTGGTGGTATCAGTCTGCACTCCCACCAACGATGTTCTCCATCATCGATGTTCCTTTCTCCCCACAGTCCCGTCAGCATTTGTTATTGGTTGATTTCTTGATAGCAGCCATTCTTTCTAGGGCGAGGTGTGTAAATACCAAATAACACCAGAGGATCTATTCTGTGTTTACACCTGTGTGACTTCTTAATTTCACTTAAGAGCATGGCCTCAATGTGCATCCACTTAGCTATAAAATCCCCCATGCTCCCTCATACCTCTCCGTAAATTGTATAGTATGTTTCTAACCAAGGCTGAGAGAAGAAGTGACCCAAGTGTGGCCTTCTTCAAAGCTTACCATGGTCCAGTGAGGTCAGCATAGACATTGTCCCCACCAATTAGCATTCATCAGGGTGGCCTAAATGCAACAGCCACCTCTCAGCAGATCAATTTAATAAAATATTTTCTTCTAACGTCTTGGTGCTGTGCAGGTTTTCAGAGAAGCTCTGCTCCGCACAGGCACATGGGTGTACCCACTTCTACTTTCCAGACAGTTGAGTCTTCCCAGAGTCTCATAGTCCTCCTCTGGATGTTTTGCATCAAGGGGGCAGGCAAGAGCGAAGGAAAACAAGAAGTCCTGCATGGGGTCTTTTATGAGCCAGGCTTGGTGGCAAGAAGCATATCTGCTCATATTCTTTTTGGCAAAGATCTGTCTTAGAGCCTCTCTTAATTGCAAGAGAGACTTAGAGAAGTAGTTTAGCCGTGAGCCTAGAATAAGAGCAAGTTTGGTAAGCATTGAAATTCTCCCACACAGACCATGTGGCCAGAAATCTTAAAAGTTCTATTGCAGCTCACAGTTTGAGGGATATTGACTTTCTTGGGAACAGCAATGTGAGGCAAGCCATGAAACTGTTAGTATTGTACGGACAGGAGATTGGCAAAGTACTTCATGGCAAAGCATGTTGTTGGTTGCCCTGACGACAGCCCCTATGCCATGGTTTGGATAAATATTCCTCAAAGGCCTTTGTGTTCAAAGCTGTGTTCCCAGCCTGTGGTGCTACTGGGAAGTGGTAGAAACTTCCATAAGTAGGGCCTAGCGAGAGGAAATGATGTTGCTGGGCTATGTCCTTGACGATAATATTGGATCCCAACCCCTTCTCTTCTTCTCAGCCACCATGAAGTGAAGGGACTTCCTCTGCCACACGCTTCTGCCGTGACGCACCATGTTGCCATAGGACCAAAAGCAACTGGCCAAAGTAACCTCTGAATTCATGAGACAAAATAACATTTTTCCTTATTAAGGTATCTCAGGTATTTTGTTACAGTAACACAAGGCCTATGGAGCTAATAACTCAGCCTTACTGGATTAGAGTCTCAGACTCCAGAGAGGAATCTGGTTTTTCAGTCATGCTCTGAGAACAGGTCTTTCAGTCTGGCGATGAGATACTTCTTCTAGTCCCGTGGCCCAGGCCTCTGCTCTGATCTGGGTGTGGGAGGAAGTGGACTGAGGCAGCCTGTGCTCTTCTCTGTTAAAGATGGAGAAGAAACTCAGTGATGTCTTATAGCTGATTGATATAGCCCATTTTCCTCAAAGGCTCATCCGACACACCAGTCTCTTGTTCCTCACTCAATCCTCTGCTTTCCCTAAATCCTTTACAGCGATGGGCATTTTTGAGTTTGACAAATTGCACTGTCTGCATGGAGATAAACGAGAGCAGTCTTGATTCTTATTTAAACCCAGCAAATCTGTGGTTACCAGACATGTTTTCTGACAGCAGCACCTGGAGCCCCCCAGAAAGCAGACAGGAAATGCGGTGGACTGAGAATTCTGCTGAAAAAAGCAGCACCGTGTTCTGTAAAAATCATTCCTTGAGCAAGACGAGGGAAGGGACCAGATTAGCTCGATATGCTAATTAGCAACACTTTCCAATAACAAGAGAGGTTCATTTGGGCCGAGTCCAGTACCATATTGCTGGACAAGTGAATCTTTTGTGTTTTTTCCTCATACAGAATACAGGGGCCTCTTGAATGTTTTCATTCTCGTGTTTATTTGTTTAAAAGAAGGAGTCTGCTGACAGCACCCCTCATTAAGATGACTCCCCTTATTTATCAATCCTGCCAAGCTCCCTGACAGAAAAGGGGTTTGGTGCTGTTAAAAATAGGTTTCCTTCCCAAATGAAACGACGCGTGGAAAGAGGAAAGAAAAGTGAAATGTGAAGCTTGTCGTGTGAAAGGCAGTTTCATTACTTGTCCTTTAGCTGCTTTTGTTCCCATTGAGGGAATGTTTGGGTCTCTCCTCAATTTGCTAAAGATGAAAGTCCGGTTGCCCAACCATAAAAGACAGGAAAGGACAGAGGAAGAAGAGGATTTTTCCAGTCCTAATCCCTGGCCTTCAGATTGAAAGAGAATCTGGGGAGCTATTATTGTTCTAAGTGTATGTAAGAAGGTCCCAAATTGGAGTTGTCAGGCCTGGAGTCCTGGAAAGCTCTATTGGATACCACAAGTCCTAATGGATTCAAAATGACACCATTTGCATAGATATTTTATTTTCTGAAAGCTCCTTTCCATTTCTAATTCTGTTCATTAAAAGGTAATTTTCCATTCTATGCTCAGACCTTCTTGCTCCTATTTCCCACCAGCAGGAAACCCAAAGGCAACAACCTGGCCTTTCTGCCCCCATCTCCCATGCCGTATTCATTCCGAGGATGCTGTGAACACAGCTCTCATGTGGAAGTAGGGCAAACTGCGGCAGAAGCAGGGGCAGTTTCAGCTGCAGACCCGCAGAGTGGTGCCCTAGAGGTGGCGAGAAGGGATCAGAAAGCAGGGGGTAGGTCTGGCCTTACATCTTCGCAGCTTTCCGGCCACAGTAAAGCATTCTAATCATTTGCACCTTCTAGACTGTGAGAGGTGGCTAGAGTCACGTTGATTGTTAAACCTCTGCAGTTCCTTTCTTCTTTACGAATATGCATTCACACAACTTTTTTGTTTATGATACCCTAATGCTTATGAGAGTAAGATAATGAAATCAGGATAAGTTGTTTGCCTTTGGGCAAATATGATCTAAGTTTCTTTTGATTTTAAATAAGAAAAGTAGTAGTGCTTACTTCATGGAGATGATGGGAGAATCAAGTGGTAAAACATTGGCAGGAATTTACCAAAGTGCCAGCCGTATTATCAACCATCAATGCATATTGAATATGATCGCTCTCCCTCACGGACACAGGTGACAGGCAGGTGACAGTTTTGATGTGTGATATCAGTCTTATTATTTGCAAGGAGAATCTGTGAATTCGCTGCCTTGGATTTCAGGGCATAAATTAGGTCACATAAGGAAGGGGCTGCATCTCTCCTAAGGTTAGAGGGGACCCATCTCCTGGGTGAACTTCTGCCATGAAGAGGTAGCTGGGGAAAAACCTGGGAGGTGGAGGCTGAGAGGTCAGGCCTGGCATATCAGAGTTCCTGACATGATGCCCAGAGCCCTGCTTATGCTGCGCTAGCAGGGACAGAAATGAATGTCTAGGACTTGTCACTATCCTTGGACTCCCTGAATGGATCACAATGCACGTAATTTCATTAAAATTCAAACACTTTCGCCATATGCCATGATAGAGGCTACAGTGGAAGGAATTTTGATACTCCCATGATAAACATGCAGCCTCTCAGACACAGGCATTATCCTCTGTTTTGGATTTATGTGTGAAAATGGACTGAAAACAAGGAAATTATTAAGCATCTGCTGAATGCCAGGCACTTAGTAAAGGTCACCCTCCATGGCCCACAGCTCTCTCCACGCTGTCTAGTGGCCAGAGAGGTTCCTAATGCCTGTCACGCAGTGGCTGAGTCAAGAAAGCTGAGTCAAACAACCCTGTCTTACCACTGTGCAATGCCATTCTTCCCCATGGATTTAATCTCCCTTCCCGGTTTTAGGTAAGCTATACCAAATAAATTAAATAGGCTGTGGTATCCTACTCCTATTGAATTATAGATCAAAATTTGATTAGGTGATTGATTAATCATTTAGAAATGCCTCATGTTTTCGGAGAGCAGACAAGGATTCTTCACGGTGCTTAATATTTAGCATTGTGAGAAGGCATAGTGGTCTTACGATCCCTGTCACCTTTAAATGTGCGTTCAAGTGATCGGAAACCCTGATACAAATGAACAAAATTACCATATTTTTGTTCAAGCGTAGGTGGGTGCATATGTAAATGTGTGTTCTGCGGATCTCAATGTGTGTTAACATAGGAGTGTGTGAGTGAGTGATGGATGAGAGAGAAGCAGCGACGGCAATTTAATTAATTCTGCTGACATTGTTGTGCTTTCAAATAGAAGTAGGAGTTCACATTGGAGCAGCCCAGAAATCCCCATGGTTGCTATTGATCTTCCTTTTCTGTTCAGCAAAAATAGAACTGCAAATTAACAAAACAAACCAACCCTGGGCGACTGATGGCTTATCGATGATGGAATCTCAGAGGAAGTTTGTTGAATGACCTTCTTGTCCGGGGAGGAGGGACTTCTCAGCCACCGTCGCTCTGTGCACAAAGAGTAACAAGGCTTTCAGTCCAAGGCAAAGGAGGAGGTCGGTGTTGTGGGAGTTACCGATTTGGCCCTATCATTGCCTCTGTCATGTCACGGGTACTAATTAGCAGGAATGTTTTCCTGACAGCCTCTATTAGAAGCAAGTTTTACCCACAGAAGTCTGAAAAGTAAAACCTGGAAGGATAAGAAAACTAGGTCAACTTATGTGCTTTATTTGAGTTGTCTGCATATGTGAATGAAGCTATAGAGGCTAATTAATGCTTTTAGAAAAAAAAATGTCCTGTTTTCAAACGATCAGTTTTAATAGTCTAGCATGTTAAACTCGTCTCTAGCCATTGACCAGGCCACTAACCAGTTGAACACACTCAAGTCACATAATCTCTTTAGAAAGTGTACAGTCCCAAGTGAAACTTTTAAAAAAAAAGAAGTAGGCCATACTTCTCAAAAATCCTTGTTTGTCCCATGGTCTGTAACTGTATCTGTGTATCTCTGGTTCCAAAGATGGGAGACTGATTTATCCCTCAGGGACATTTGGCAATGCCTGGAGACATTTTTGTCCATCACACCCATGGTGGGGGCATATTGACTGAGGAACAGCTGCTACTGGCATCTCATGGACACGACTAGGATATTGTGCCATCCTGCCAGTCTCAGAACAGGCGCTCACAAGTAAGTCTGACCCCAAATGTCAAGACTGTCGAGGTAGAGAAACTCTCCTTTAAAAGTATAAACACTAATTAAATTTTGTGATGATGACCACCTAACATTTCATATTCTGGTCTTCAGAGAAAAAGATTTAAAGACAGATGGGGTTGGGACAAGTGCTTCCTGTCCATAAACACATAGTGCAGAGGCCTAGGAAGCAGCCATGCAAAAGCCATGAAAAGCCTGGGATTGGGTTATAAAAGAGTGTTTCCAATCATCTCTTATATTTAAGACTGTTTGCCATGATACAGGTATCAGATAAAAGGAGAAAAACATAAAATAAGCAGGTAGTTTTACATGTCAGCTGTTTTTGCAAAAACTGACGATCAGGTGTTATTTACTACAAACTGGGTTTTCTGTTACTGCTGAAATAAATTACTCCTAAATTGGTGGCATAAAATAACACTGATTTATTGCCTTAACATTCTTTAATTTAGAACTCCATCACAGGACTTACTGGGCTAGAGCCCAAGTGTTGCCAGAGCCGCACTGCCTGCTGGAGATTGGAGAAGAGTTTGCTTGTTGTCTCCAGCTTCCAGAGGCTGCTCACATTCTTTGGCTAATGGCTCCTTCCTGTGTCCTCCAAGTTAGCAGTGTTATGTCTCCCTGACTCTACACATCTCTGTAGTCTCTTCTCCCCTTGGCTTTAATCTCAGCCAAGAAAACCAATTTAAGGGTGCCTAGGATGAGGTTGAACCCATGCAGATAATCCAGGACAACTGCCCTATCCCAAAGTCCTTCACCTCAGTCACATTTGAAAAGTCCCTTTTGTTGTGCAGGCTAATGTGTTCACAGGTTCTGCTGTTTAGGATATGGACATATTTTGGGGGCTGTTGTTTTGCCTCTCACCACAGGGTCATTTGTATTGGATGCTGTGACCCCAGCCAGCTCCACTTTCAGAACTGAGCCATTTATTTCTGCAAATGCAGTTTTGGCTGCTGTCGAATCTTCACTGAGTTGCTCTCTAAGAATTGTCCTCAGCTAAAGGAACATTCTTTTCGAAGCTGCCTTTCCTAAGGCAGCTCACAGCAAACCAGCCAATGCATAGAAATGAATTCTTGGCATTTTACCTCAAGATAGGACACATTTGATGGACCGCTCTGGTTTTGGAGCTAGCATAGGATTGGCCAAAGAATTTGTTGTGATTGTGTCACAGTTAAGTTTCTCTTTCTACTCAATTTCCTTTTCATTACCTCTGAACACACTTCCCAGTAAGCCTCCTGTGAGCCAGTGAACATCTCCACATCTGTTACTGAATGGTCAGTGCCCAGAGTTACATGAGGAGCAAATGCACAATAAGGCTTTTGGAGAAGGCAAAGGGAATCTGTCACTAGTGGAAGGCATGGATAGCTTCCTGTATAAAGTGATGTGATAAAACTTTCAGTAGTGGTCAACTGTAGTGAGATACAGGTGGAAAGTCTTGGTGGAGACTGAGATGTTTGGGAAGTTTTAGGGCAAAGTAATTATAGAGACTTTAGTATTTCTGGAGAGCAGTCTATTTATTAAATACAGTAGTAGCTTGGGGTGATCTCTCAACAATTAAAGACTAAGTGTGAATGCAACGAGGCCTCCTTTACAGCATATAGTGGCTGTCTCTAGCCAGGGAATAGAAAAAGTTGAGGGTTATGCTTAGGACTTAATTATCCGTGTAAAGGATGCAGTGCAGAATTTGGCTTCTTGTGATAAAAGGGCACAGTAAAGTTTTCAAATAATTGAAGCCAGGAGGTGGTGCTGAACTGTCAGAAGCAAGATGGGCCCTGAAATTTGTGGCTTCCTTCCTCTGTCCTCCACCCTTCTCAGCCTTGTTAAAGCTTTTCATTTCGAAGTGATGTTTTTTATGGTTAAGTCTTTCAAATTCTTTAAACAGGGAATGACAGAAGGCTTCATGTTGTCTGTAGTTTTTGTAAGTAAAGTTTTATTGGAATCCAGTAATTCGATTTGGTTTAATATTATTTGTGGCTTTTGGAACTGAGTAGTTGAAACACAGATGTTGTGGCCTGAAAAATCTTTAAATATGTGTATCTGGCCTTTTACACAACAAGTTTGCTGAACTCTGCTATGGAAAAGTCCTGGTACTTAAAAAAAAGTTTACACTGATTTGAAGAAACTAAGCGGTTTTCACGTAGAGTTCCTACATTCCAATGTGTCTAATTTGGGGCAAGGAATGAAGCTTGGGCCTTAGCACTGAGTTATCCCCTCCCCTTTCTTCCTTCCTTTCTATCTTTCTTTCTTTCTTTCCTTTCTTTCGTTCTTTCTCAATAAAAAACAAAGTGGAGGGCCGGGGATTTAGCTCAGCGGTTTTGTGGCCTGCCTTGCAAGTGCAAGGACCCAAGTTCGAGATCCCCGGTACCAAAAAAACAAAAAAACAAAAGCAAAATAAAAAAAAAAACATTGGAATGTATGACTCTTGATTCCCTCAATAATGAGACCCTAGGTTGGCTATTCCATGCTTAATCTCTACCCCTAAGTCTGTTCATTACTTCTGTGCCCTGCTTTTTGCTATGAGAAGCTGATGTCGTGGGCTGAGTGGATAAGACCAATGGCAGAAATACACAGGAGATGTACAGGTGTGGGCCAGGAGGGAACAACAGGGTAAGGCTATTTACTCATTTTAACTATATATAGAAAAGAGGTTTATATAACTGGGTGCCCAGTAGGTTTTATGCAAAGTAGAAGTGCTAGCTAGAAATGTGAGTGAAGAGTAAAAAAACAAAACTAAGATAAAATGTGAGAAATACCCTGAACCTAGCAGCAGCTTGAGGCACTCCAAGTCTTAGAAAGGTAAGGGATAAGAGCCAGAGGGAATGATAGTAAATAGCCAACACATCTCAGTGATATTTCTCAATGTTAATGACCTCAACTCTCTGATTCAAAGACATAGATTAGCAGAGTGCATAAAAAAAGAATCCAACAATCATTTGCTGCATTTAAAAAACTCATCTAATCCAAAAAGATATTTATAGTCTAAAAATTAGAACATGGAAAACGTATGATGCACCAGGACCCAGAAAACAAGCAGGGGTAACAATTCTAATATTAGATTTGGTAAATTTCAAGCTAATACTGATTAGAAGAAACAAGATGGTCACTAGTTACGGAAACAATCCAACAAAAACATATAACATTGATAAACATAAATGCACCAAATACCTCAATAAAACAAAAACTGCTAAATCAAGAGATCAAATAAACACTAACAGAATCATAGCAGGGGATTTTAACACCCCACTTTTACAAAGTAATAGATCAACTAAACAAAAAATCAATAAAAAGTTTCAGAGCTGAGTCACACCCTGGAAATACGCACTTAATGGATGTATACAGAGCATTCCACCCTTTTTCAGCAGTACATGGTACTTTTTCCGAAATAGATTACACACTAGTCGTCAAAACCTGCTTACATAAATGTAAAAGGATAGAAATTACCCTATGCATCCTATCAGACCAATGTGCAATGAAAATAGAAATCAGCAATAGAAGAAATTCCAGTAAAGGCAAAAAGTCCTGGGAAATCAACAATATACTTCTATACAACCAATGGGTCATAGAAGACATCAAATAACAAATTAAAGAATTTCTAGAAGCTAATGACAATGACTATACAACTTGTTAAAACCTGTGGGACATTATGAAAGCAATTCTAAGAGGAAAATTCATCACAATCAATGTTCACATTAGGAAAACAGAGCAGTTTCAAATAGACTGGCTTCTGAGAAATCTTAAGATACTTGATTTAGTATGTGAACATTTTTTTGGTGGAAGGCTCTTATTTTGACTATTACATAAGCCAACAATTAGTAATATTTGGTGAATGCATCATATGTTCTTATTTTTGTGCTAGACACTTATATCATTCCTGAGAAACATTAGAATATTCAGTACCATGTCTTCAAAATGCCCTCTTTGTGTTCTCAATACTTTTGTAACATCCAGGGACATTGTAACCATGTCTGGACTGGACTGTCTGAATACATATTACCTAAGAGACACTGAGAACTCAGCAAACTATTGTTATCTGAAGAGCCAGGCTTCTTGCCCATATGCTAAGTCATCTGTTCCTTAGAATTCTGGTCCTACAAAGGAACAAAGCAAGCTAGTGATGTCACTGCACATGTCATCTAACCTGTAAAATCCGCTTTGTGCAGTGACCAGGGGCAGCGCAGAGCACTGATGGAGAGGCTACCCCAGACACTCTGAGTGCTTTCCAGTGAGTGCTTTTCCAGCTCACCATCACCGATGTTAGGAGCGATGTTGTTACTGAGTAAGCACCATTCCTGGGATTTCACCA